AGAGAAGAGAGAGCAGTAGAACAAGAGTTGAAAGGAGGAACAGAAGCTTAATGTTCTGCCGCTGCCACTTTATTTAGTATTTATAGGTTATGCTCATTACATGGAAAGGACAGATCTGCCCTTAGTATTTACATAACAAATAGAACAAAATAAGACTGAAATAACTAACTGACCACCAGCTAACCCTAGAAAGACTAGAACACTTTCTACCCTACGAACACAGTGGGACCGTAGCTGTGGGGCCCACATCAGTGTTCTCTACAGTAAACAAGATGAGTGTTCCAGATGAAACTGAAAAAGCAAAGGATCAGGAATGTAGCTTTTGGGATTGCACACATCAGTGACATGTGCTGCTTGAATTGCAAGTGATTTTGTGGGATTGTGGCTGTAATGGGCAATGCACCCACTGTTTAAAGGCAGACATCCAAGTGTCTTTTTTGAGTTTGAGTTTTTGTTTGTAAGGAGTGGATAGTTGTTTTTTTTTTGTTTTGTGGGATTGTGGCTGTAATGGGCTGATTGGGTTAATTTGTATATCCTCTGTTCATTTCTCTTTGTACAGGGGTTTATCTATAGCTGATTGTTTTCCTTCATGAAATACTTTACAGTTTTCAAAAAAAAAAAGTGATTTTTGCTACTAGGGGCTGGTAAATCCAAAACTTTTAAGTGAAATTTCCATACATTTTTGACTCTCACTAAAAGGGGATTTTACCTATGAACGAGGGAGTATACAGACACAAAAAACAATGCTTTGGTTATTTAACATTTCATGGTTTTATGTTGTAGGTATACACTTAAACAGTTATATACTTGGATCCTTGTTTCTTTTTTTTTTTCCTTGCAAAAATTATGTCCAGAACATGTGTATACATACAGATAGAGGCAACACATATTGTTGGCTTGGAGACCATTCACAAAGTTGCTTAGGAAAAGGGGATTTTACCTGTGAAAGAGGGAGTAAACAGACAGAGAAACACTGTTTTGGTTATTTCACATTTCATGGTTTTATGTTTTTTGGTGACACTTAAACAGATAGTATACTTGGGTCCTAGTTTCTTTTTTTTTTACTTGCAATAATTATCTCCAAAAATATGTATATATACAAATAGAGGCAACACACTGGCTTGGAGACCATTAACCAAGTTGCTTGGAAAAAGTAAAGATGCAACATTTGACCCTTTACCATTTGTTCAACAAAGTAAGAATGATCTGATTGACTGGTGACTGGTATTTGTTGATTTTGCAGTTATGTGTCAGGATATAAAAACCGGTTCCAGAATTTCATCAAGCATCTGCGTGAAATGGGGGATGAGGTGTGGCATATTCTATTGTTCAGTGACAGTGTTGCTTTATGGATTGCATGATGAGATCATGGGATAATTTTCCACTCCTTTTTTTATCAGTAACTCAGAAAATGAATTAATTAAAATTAAGAAAGCAGAACAACAAGAAGTTGTGAAGGATACAAGTAGACACCAGGTGTCTACCCCCCCAAGTATTACAACTGAGCCCAAAACATAGTATGTCTTTGCACCTCTTGCTTAGCTAGACTATCTGCCAAACTGTTGGCAGATCTTCTAACCCAATTAACTTGAATAAACATTTCCCTGGAGAACCATTTGAACCTCCTGAGAACATTCCTTAGGTGCCAAGATACCCCTTCCCCCTTCTTTAGCCAGTCCACAACTATTTTGGAGTCACTTCAATAATTAATCTATCAAAACCCAATTCTTTAGCTTTCTCAATTCCAAAAACAGCCACCAAGAATTCTTCTGTTGCCACATCACCTTGCTCAATTGGACCTGAGAAGAAAGCACACATATTTCCTTCCTCATCCCTGATTACCCCTCCAATTCTAGATGGTCTCAGATTGCCCACGCAACTCCCGACTAGACTGAGTGGTCTTGATTTGATCAGAGTTCTGGTTCCAAGTCTAAAACATCTATATTTATTAGGAATTTCCTAAGTCGATCATCACCTGGTACCATCATCTGTATTACAAAATCAGCAGATCCTTAATTGATCAATTTTGAATATCTAAGGCCTAGTTCCCAAATTGATTTGAGTTTTTGCACAACAATTTATAATTATTTTTGAAATAGACTCACATGATAAACTAAAAGCTGGAATTCTTGATATTTGATGTAGGTCATGGTTGTGACAACTCATGAAGGAGTGCCCCGGGAATTCTATGGAGCAAAACTAATTGGGTCAAGGAGGTTAACTCATATGCCTGCATCCAATTGCTCGTCATTATATACTGACATCATCTCTATGTCTTGTTTTCTTGATGTTTGCTGCTTAAAATAATCTTCTATAATCTTAATTTAACCATTCTATTACCATTTCCAAATTTTAGATTGTTAACTGGTCAATATGGAATAATGCTTATAATTGACCAGTACTGAAGAGACTCAATTAATCTGCTTGATTCAGTTAAAGAGGTTGAGTTAAAGGTTTAGTTGTCTATCTTAAATCCTCAACCAGAAAATTTATTTATTGGGAAACTGATAGATTGTTAAGGAATTGAATTTTGGGAGAATGACGGTTCAGCCCGGGGTCAGAATTCATAGGCACAAAGTACAGTTGGGGTAGGTGCCAGCTCGGAATTGATGCCAATTCACGGGCGGGCATTGGTGCATAGGGTACTTCTCCATAGAATTTTGTCTATTTCTTTTTTCTTTTCCCTGAGAAGAGAAAATAGTGCTAATATTTTAATGATGCTGGACCATCTTTAAAGTCAACTTTGATTTTTTTTTGCTGAGAAATTAAACTTTGATTTTTCAACTCCACCTTGTTCTTTTTTCACTCTTGAATCCTTGTAAAATTGTGACTTAAGAATCTGTCATACTTGATCTTCTGTATTTGTCATCCATGCTATTTTTGATTTAGTAGCCTTATTATATTTCATATGTATGGTTTATTTGTTCTTTTCTTTCTAATGCTTGTTTTTCTTTTGGCAGCTTCCCCTGCCCCTGGTATCAAAAAGTGCCTCTTTCACTGGCACTCAGCCCTAGAATAATCTTAGAGGTTGCCAGGTTCAATCCTGACATAATACATGCTTCTTCACCTGGAATTATGGTAATTTTCTCTCATGTAATAATCTATCTTTTCAATTATTGAAGTGCCAAAAAAAAGCAAACGCTCAGTCCCCTTTCATGCATGCCTGACATAATATCCAACTCTATTCTAGGTATTTGGTGCTCTCATTATAGCAAAGCTACTGTGTGTGCCTATTGTGATGTCATACCACACTCATGTTCCAGTGTAAGTGATCCTTCTGATGCTATTCTAATTGTGCACATGATAGTTTTCCAGGTAGTGTAATCATAGATGAAGGGACTGGATCACTGGAAGCTCTTATCCCTGTCTTTCTTGTGTGCATGTCATTCATGTCAAGGCCTAACGTGGCTGATAGCCTGATACCCATTATTTGATGGGTTGGATAATGGTTTACTTGGCAATGAATCATTTCAATCAGATGTTTCTAATCATGCAATTTTTCACATTCAGAGAAAAATAAAAGAAAATCTTTGGCATGGAAAAAAAGATACTCTTGTTAGAATCATCATCTTGTGAGTTGTGAAGTGATTGTGGTTATAGCTGCACAACTCACTTTCTTGTCTTCTGACCAGGGATGTCAGTGGGTCAGTTAAGTGGTAAACCCACATTGACCTGACTCTAATGGGTTAGTGTTGGGTCAGCCTTAGTTGGGTTTCTAGTCAGGTTCAGTTTGTGTATGCCCCATGTCAAACCTGACCTGTTGACATTAAAACATTGCAATATTTGTAAATATAGAATTAATTGAGTATAGATGTACTATTCATGGGATGGGTTGGCTTGGGTTCGGATTTCCATTTCATTTAGGTGGGTCGGATCAGGTTTTGGTTGAGCCAAACCTGTACGAAATCTGACCTGTTGACATCCCTACTTCTGACCTAGGGAATTTCCTAGATTAGCTTATTGATTGGTTGGTCCCAACCAACTTGCATCAAGTAATGTGCATGCAGTTCTCTTAGAAAAGTTAACTATGCATTCACTGGCAGGGTTATGGGTTTGTTTTCCTTTCTGCCACATATGCTTCTTCTATAGAAAGATACTTTCTGTGTGCATGGGTAATGACAAATAGGAAAATGTGCCAACAGTTTTTCTGGTGCACAGTTTGATTATTGTAAATAATTTTGCAGATACATTCCAAGATACACCTTTAGTTGGTTGGTGAAACCAATGTGGATGATCATAAGTATGTGATACTGTCCTTGCTAAGTCCCCTGTTTCAAGATGGATGCTAGATATCAGATTGGTAGAGTGATAACCTTTAATCTTCTCTTTGTTAGAGTTTCTCCATAGGGCTGCTGATCTTACTCTAGTGCCATCAGTTGCCATTGGGAGGGATCTTCAAGCTTATCGGGTAACAGCAGGTGAAAATAAAGATGCCTTTGTAGCAGAATGCCAATCATTATCTATACCTTCGATTGTATGAAAAATTAATTAGGCATTTTCTTAATCAATTGTTATGGCATTTATATAACAGCCAATGTGTAATAACGTATTTTACATGATTACTGCACACCTTACAATTTACATATGATAAAAAGATTTGGTAGGAGAATTAATATGCTCTGCTTTTAGTCTCATTATAGTATTATACTTCTCTGTTCGTCATGCAATAAATTATATATGGTCGTTTAGAATAGTCTTTCACTTGCTATACAATTTACAGTGTTTCATATGGGACCACTCTGTCATTTTACTTTGTAACCAGTGTTTGAATATAAGAATTAAGGTAAAAACATTAATTGATGTAGAAACATTTAAAGCAGAAAAGCATTTAACTATTCTTCATTTTTCCTTTACTTTTTGTTTTTTCAAAGCATTGTCTATACACCAAATATGCCCATATATTTGCATAATTTCAAAATCCCTACGKAAGACCTTATGTTCAATGCAATTTGCTGGTTTCCTTTGGATGCTTATACTGTTATACATTACTTCTTTTCAGCTAATAAGATACGCCTCTGGAATAAAGGTGTTGATTCTGAAAGCTTTCACCCCCGCTTCTGCAACCATGAAATGCGGTTAAGATTAAGGTACAATACCTGCCTCAACCTTTCCTGCTTGTCTATTGTAGTACAGTAGGACTGTCCTCTAACCTTTGCTTCATTTTTCTGCCTAATCAGTAATGGTGAGCCTGACAAACCATTGATAGTCCATGTTGGGCGCTTAGGAGTTGAGAAGAGTTTGGATTTCCTAAAAAGGTACTTAATTTCATATGGAAATGCCAGCATCACCTTTTGAATATCGGCTATCATAAGTTATCTGGCATTCTTTATTAATTCTTGTTTGTTATTTTTAATTTATTTTTCATAAGTTATCATTTGAATGATTTAACTTTTACACCCATCTTGCAATTGATCCTGTTTCTATTTTCCATGGCCCAAAAGTTAAAGACAACAAATTTGAGTCTTTTCTGGCCCACCCAAGTTAATGGAAAAATATATTTGGTGCTGTTCAGGGCTAAATTGTGATTTTGCAGTATCTTTCATGATTAACTTTACTAAGCTAATAAAGTTATCTGACTTATTATGTTTACATAGCTAATGATCCTGTGGCCTCAGAAATTACTAGCTGGGATATTGTTTAGATTTCATGCAATATTCCTTCATCTTGATTCAACTGAGTTTACCTGAAAAATTCTCAATCAACTCGACAAATTTTCAACAATATGTTTGTTTAATAGGAAAACACAAAGTAAATGTAGAAGGGTCTATCATAGTGAGTTACTCAAACTCAGGTTCTAATTCCTCAGAACAAGCAACACTGTGGAGAGAGGCTTAGATTTGTTTTAGGTCAGGTTCAGTTGGTCAAATACAAGTTGCACCCCTAGTTGCATGAGAGGCATGTAGGTATGCTTTGTGATCCTCATTCTTAGAAAAATGAACTAAACCATGAAGGCAACAAAATGGGTTGTATGTATTTATATTGAGAAAATATAAAACGATTCAACCATTTTCCATAGAAAAAAGCGTGAAATTGAACTTTTGTTTGTGTTGAATGACATGTAGTAATCAATGTGTGCCAGAACCTAATACAAATCATGTATTGCAATTCTAATAAAAATTGCAAACTGGCAAGAAGACATTGGAATTATGTCATATCCTAATTGCTACATCATTTTCATTTCTATTTAGCATACTCTTAGGCTGTGTTTGGTTTGAAGGGAAACCTATACAAGGTTTGTACAGGTATCCGTACAAATTAGATATCAACTTAAATAAATTAACATTACTGGAAAAGTAAAAAAATGATATTGATATTAAACAATATTAGAGTAAATTAAAAAAAAATAGATTTAATTTATCTGTTTTCTAACAAGAACACTTGCTATAAATTAATTTAAAAGGAGCATGTTCTTGACATAATACATCTTAAGGTTTGAGGCATGTGCCTTGCACTTCTGGGCATGAACCTTGAAAATTGAATGTTTGAAGTCTCTTTTTTGAGCCTCGCCTTGGGAAACCCCCAAGATACATCTTCAAGGGCTTTTCAGAAAACTAAGCATTGTGGCTTATAGCCATTTGTTTTTCTCTGGGAGTTTGTTGCTTCTTGTTTTTTACCTATTTGCTACTATAGAAACCCAGCCTCTTGATTGCCAATTAACAGGGGAAAAATTCATTAAGATAGTTCTTTTATCTTGTAATTCATGAAGGTTTTGCTTGTATGCATTAGAGTTTTGTGCACCTTTCAAGACATGCCTTTTCAAAATTCATCCCTGTAATCTTTCTCTAAGCAATTCATAGAGGTGGTGTTTATGTTCATCGATTGATTTCATTGCAATGTTTGACATTTGGAAACCATTATTGAACAGGATAATGGATAGGCTTCCAGATGTACGGATTGCTTTTATAGGAGATGGGCCATATAGGTAAGCTACCCTGTCTCTAGCATGTCACGCACTGCTTAAGTTCTTTGCAAATCTATTGGCAATCTCTGTTCTATGACCATCAAACGGAAGCTAGCCAAATCTTGTGTCATTAAAAACACCCCTTGAGTGATAAAATGTCTTCAGCTTTTCAACAAACCAGGCATTAATTCTTCACCAAACTGTTTTTTTTCTCCAAGGGGATCACCCTGTATCAGAATGGAAGTTAAAAGAAGAGGAAGATCTCTTTTGGCTGGCCCTCTGTTCACAGAGTGTTCTTTTTTTATTTTTTTTGTCTAATACAGAGAGGAACTAGAAAAGATGTTCTCTGGAATGCCTGCGGTATTCACAGGAACGTTACAAGGTGAGGAACTCTCTCAGGCTTATGCTAGTGGGGATGTTTTTGTAATGCCTTCAGAATCGGAGACCCTTGGGCTGGTAGTGTTGGAAGCCATGGCATCAGGGATTCCAGTGGTTGCAGCTCGTGCTGGTGGAATCCCTGACATAATTCCCACGGATAAAGAGGGTAAGACAGGCTTCCTTTACAACCCTAGAGATATCGAGGACTGCTTAAGCAAGTTGGAACCCCTATTATCCAATCAAGAATTGAGAAAAACCATTGGAAGAGCTGCACGTGAGGAGACGGAGAAGTACGGATGGCGAGCAGCCACACGCAAGATAAGGAATGAGCAATACAATGCTGCCATTTGGTTCTGGCGGAAGAAGAGAGCACAATTACTGCGACCTTTTCATTGGTTGATAAGACGAATTTTCCGGTCACCAGAAGTAAACCATGGCTGATGCAAATTATCTTGGATTCCAAAGGAAAGGGAAAGTATCATTAATCTGTCAAGGACACAGAGGTCACAAGTTGTTTGTACGATTAATTTGTTGTTTGTATTCTAACAACAACAGATCATTTGTTGTATATTCTAGACATGAAAATCTGGCAATGCAATGAAATTGATTAATTTTTGAGGAAGTTAGTTTTGTTAATATTTGGAAAATGTTAGCTATTAGATGTCATGCACCGTTCCATAGTCCATGCGAGCTGCCTGTTTTTGTTTGCCAACAACATATACAAATTTCAGGAAAAAGGAAAATGATCCGGTTCCTCGTGGCCCGGGGCGGGGGTTTATGTTTGCAGTTGTACAAACTAATTTGCAGAAACACCACAATCTTATATGCGTTTAGGGCAAATTTTTTTTTAAAATACCCTTAAGTTTTCTGATATTTGTCTAAAACCTCCATTGTCATTAACTTTCCGTCACATTCTGTTACATGTGACAACATGTGATTGATATATTTTCTTAAAATTCCTAAAATACCCCTTTTGGTAAACTGTCTAAGTCCACTACCACAATTGGTTAACCGTTGGCTGTTCGCTTGCCACTTCAGGTTGCACCTCCAATGGTTGTTGATGGGGCTTCCGGTGAGACAAGACGACTAACCTTTTTCAGTTTTCCCCAAACCCCTAGCAGTTGCCGCTTTCACACGAACACATTGACTCTCCTGCAAAAGAAGAGAAAAAACAGCACAGAAACACTATTAAGATAAAGAACCCAGATGCGGATCTGTTTTGGGCTTACAGAACCCAATCCTCTTTTTTTTCTAAACTCTTGTCATTGCCGAACATATATATTATGTTCTTGAGGCCAGCCAACATTGCTGGCATCTAGTGGTGGGTTGCCTACATCTGTGTTTGCATAATAAAATTGTTCCATGTCGGAAAGATTTGCCAACTGCTGAGTAGCTTCTGGTATTTTCAGGTCAGACCATTTGTCCATTGGAGAAACATATTCCTGGATCTCACGCTGCAACAAAATTTTAGGTGGCGAAGAGGAAGGTGTTGGGGGATTGAAATCTGAATAATATGGGTATGGCAAGAGTGATCTTGATAGTCTTGAACTGATTCTACTTTAACATAATATGGGTATGACTGAACCAAACTCCTTTCATTAATCCCAAGCGAATTTCGAATTCTCTAATTCTATTAGGCACGTTAAATAAATGACACTCAAAAACCAAAGACAATATAGATTTAGAAATCAGTGGAATAACTCGTAGCCATCTAAAATTTTAACAAGAAGATTTATTTTCATGGAGAATTTGGTGGTAGAAGACAGAGGGAAAGAAACTCAGATTCGACTAGCAACATCTCTCTTTGGCCCTGTTCTTTTTGCGGAAATACATTTACCTGGGTAAGTGCACTTACCCATATTCTTTTTTTGTTTAATTTATCTAGGTAAGTGAGTTTCCTTACTCCCATGTTCTTTTGCAACACCTACTTTCCTGGGTAAGTTTGTTATCTTTTTCGCCTCTTGCCAATTTTATCCTTTGAGCTAAGTCCATGTGATACAAATCATACACATTGTGTCCCTTATTTCCACGGTTTCCCCCTTTTCTCCTTTTCCCCTGTAGTTGTAGATGGATTGTCATAAGATTGGGGGTGATTGGATAGAAGCCAACCCAGGAACCATGTAAACAACCATCTCTCACATTTTGTGTTCTCTGAATATAAACATGGATCCTGTATTCTGTGGTTCAAGGTTCAGCGATCAAGGAACCAGAACATCATATAGATTTAGCTCTCACATTTTTCAAACACAATAAGCTGACACTCTTAAATTTATGTACCATGTAAACAACCAAATCATTTTCCATTCACTAAGTCTCAATCTTGGTATTTTCTTAATAACCAGAGAAAATCCCAATATTTGATTAGCATATGGTCAGTAGGCATCGGCTACAAACCTGTAAGAAAAGGGAAAAAAAACATAAATAATTATATTGGTTTTCCCAGTTGCAGAATTTTCACTTAACAAGCTTAACAAATTCCATCCRTATGAAACAAATCAACTTAACAGAAGACAAGGCTTGAAAATTAGGAACTGAATCAACTCTACTTTTGTGCTTTACTCAAAGAATGTGATTTTTTTAATACTAGTGAGAAACATAATAACCATAGACATTTCTTTGAAATTCTTCTAATAATATGTCAATGGGAATATAAGCTATGTCAATTTAATAGTTTCTTGATGGCATTCCATGATATTGGCACAAGTTCAAGAAACTAATTGAGTCAAGCCACAGGCACAGTCCTTGCCCCTCACACACCAACCCACCTGTCCATGCCCAAGCATTCCCAAACATGAACATGAAACAGTGGAAGCTCAAAAAATAAGGTGCAAGCAGTTACTAGCTTTATGAAGAAAATAAGGTGAAAGCTCATAAAATTGAGTAGTGAAACCAACGCTTGCATCCAGAATAAGGACCCATAGATTTGAACATGATGCCACAATGCTGATATAGCCCATTTTCATTTCCCTTCTCAATGTGTTGTGCAAGCCTTGCAGCTGCCGTATTTTAGTGATACCTGGAACAAGAAAATTCACAAGTCTTGATTTAAACTACTGGAGGCTTGCATTATCTGAGTGCGAATCAACTAATTCTAGATCCATAGAGAGTGTTGACTCCTATAAGTTGAAGAGAATCAAGGTAGTRCCTGTTGAGGAGAATAGGATTGTTGAGAAGATTGAAAGAAATGAGATTGAAAATATGCCTGACCCAAAAGAAAACTCTGAACTAGACCTGTTTCAGATGTATGAGAATTTCCTGACTGTCTTGCATGAAGGAAATGACCTAAGGATGTAATTCAAACTAGTGGAACATATACGACACTTGCTGAAGGACGATGAAGAGGCCGGAATTTTTATGGGAACTAATGAGTTTGTTGAGGCCCTTGTGCGGTTTTTGGGGTTGGTTGTTCATGATCTTAACGAGAAAGCTGTGGAATTTGGAGTTATGGCACTTTTCAACCTTGCTGTTGACAATAACAGGTTTGCACTTGTTCAATAGTTTTCTTGTTTTACTCAAATATCTATGTTGGCCCTTATCCATCTCATTACACACACACATAACAGAATGGCAATTGTGAATTGCACCATATCACAGTGAAATGGTTTTGTGTTTTCTTTGATGTTCTCCTTGTCATTTTGCTTCCTGGTATATATACATTCTATTTTAATGGATTTTAGCAGTAAAATGGATTGAAARAAATGGGATTTCCAGTTATTCCTCTCCCCTCCCATACTCTTAGTAACTTGTTCTATCATGATAGGGATGGATCTGCTTTGGCTATTAGGAAGGACATGACCAAATCCCAGTCCAACCTGTGCAAAAGCTCAGGCTAGGATTAGTTGGGTTCAAATTGGATACCCAAGATTCATACATGCTTTTAGGTCAATATGCTGTGAGCAACTCTTAATCAAAAAAAGACAATGATTTCATGTTCTATTTACCAAATAGATCAATTTCGTTTTAATTTTCTTTATGTAATCAAACATGAAAATTGTTTTTGTACAACCAAACAGAAATGTTACCTCAAGATCATTTCTTAAACAAGGAGCAATTAGAGTTGTTTTYGGTGHTTAAGAAMMGTTMTTTTTAAACAATTTCTGCAAAATGAATAAGCCATTCTTCTTAAACAATTACTGTAAGAATACAAAGTTCTTCTTTTAGTGGGATGTGTGCATAATTTTTCTCTTCTTGGGGGAACTAGATGAAATTTCATGTTTCATGTTGTCCATCCCATTTTGCATTAGTTTATTACTTTTGTTATTTAACTAACCATTTAAATTAATTTTATTATTTTATTCTATTCATATTTCCCATTTTTRTTTTCTACCTATTTATTATTTTACTTTTATCATTATTTTTCTTATTTTTTGGATTATTGGGTTATTTTACTCAATTTAGGAAACTAATCACCACATCTCAATAATTTTTTCCCTAACTTATGTTTAGAGAATTCAATTAAGTCCATATTCCCCCCAAGGTCCATGCATCATCAATAGTTTTAACATCAAAACAAACATCAAGACAAGTAAAATATAGAAAAACAAATTGCATAATTCTACTGTCAACGATCTAAATCATATAGTGAAGGTCATATGTAGCCAAGGAATATCATAAGGAATTGAAGCAAAGCAAGAACAATATTGTTGATATGGATTAATAGATATAGGAGGTTTCAATAGGTTCAAATCAACCATTCAAGGGGATATCTGAGGATCCTGGCATCTCCAATTAAAGTCAGAAGCAAGAATGACACCTGTTTATTGTTGAGAATCACTTCAGAATGGGATGCCCAAATCTGTAGCAATGGGATTACAAGTAGCAATCGAATTCTCCTTTTCTTACTATTTCTTAAACTCTTTGATGTATAGCGCTACCAGCAACGAAAAGAGTAGCTCTGAAACTGAAATCAATGATTGGGAATCTTGAAACAGGGGACCGCTCTGAAATCGATGTATAGTGCTACGTGAAGTCGGTCACTATCGTGAGGATGAAAGGAAAACCATCGGATAGTTGATTTCAGGCGAGAGTACTAGAAGAAACAGGTGTGGCTGTGAAAATAGTAGTGGCTGCTGGATCTAGATTGACAGCGGTAGATGTTGAGGATGATGTAGAGAGATATAGAGGGAGAGAAGAGAAGTGAAAGAAGAGAGAGAGGGAAGAGAATGAGAGAAAGAGAAAGAGTTTGGGGAGGTCACTGCTGCTGCAGCTCCTCTATACTCGTCATGAAGATGATGAACTCTTCAGCAGTAACGGTGAGTTTGAGAAGGAACAGTAGAAGGGGAGAAGCTCTTGAACGGCGAACCTTTTAAGGGCAATTTTGATATTTTCATCTTTTCCCATTTACCCTCCACTCGGGAAACCAAACATACCCGAGTATGAGAAGGGTATCATTTACCCGGGTAAGTAATACCCCAGGAAATAAAATTTACCGTCTCCATATCTGCGGAATACAGCAAGGTCAATGGTGCAATCCAGCACCATGGCCCACCTTGAAGACCAGTTTCATAACATAATCATCAGTTGGGTTTTATTTTGAAAATTTGAAGAATAGTAGAGGGCAAATTTGGTTTTTTATTTTTTCCATTAGGATTTAACGACAATATTAATTGTCAGAAACAGTAGGGGTACTTTAAGACAATATGCAAACAATAAGAGTAGGGCTGCATGTCGGGCCGGGTTAGGTCGGGTTGAGGCCAACCCTAGCCCAACCCTAAGTTCTAAACCCCCAACCCTAACCCTAACCCAACCCGACCTTCAACCCAACCAACCCAACCCTAACCCTAACCCTAACTAAATTCCTTTGACCCTAACCCAACCCAACCCAACCTTCTTTCCATCCCTTAAAACTTCACAGAATTTCTCGATTTTAGATCTCAACTTAACTTTCAGTACATATATTAATCCTATGTTTCATTAGTACTTGTTTGTTGACTTTTTTTTTTGTTCTTTTGTTACAAAATTCAAAAAAACAAGTGTTATGACTTACGATAGATCTTTCTTGGGCGGAAAACAACATAGAGGAGATAAAGCATAAAATTTTCAAAAAACATAAATTAATGTTATTAAGGTTTTAGTCTTTTTGATGAGGATTAAGTGAAGTGATCTTAAAAGAAATACATGATACTATGTGGTGGGGCTATACAAATATCATGCATCTAAACAAATCAATGTTATATATTACATATAACATATATTTATATATGACATGTACTATAGAGTCGGGTTCGGGTTACCTAAGGGGTCAATCCTAACCCAACCTGAAGTAAAGTCGGGTTCATGAATTTCAACCCTAACCCTAACCCGAACATCAACCCGACCCAACCCAACCCAACATTTTCGGGTTAGGTTCGGGCCAACCCGGCCCAAGTTGCAGCCTTAAATAAGAGTAGAGTTAGTTAATTAGCTAAATTATAAGGGTAGTTTAAGAAATTTGCACATGTGTTATTAATTTTCTGTTCTTTGGCGCAAGCCCATACGTGGATTTCAAAAGATAAAAGAAAAATGAGGTTATCAATCACTTTTTTTAACTCGAGGAACTCTTTTTCTACACAAAAAAGTGGCAATCGCTAAATTAGAACTCATTTGCATTAACCAGCTAAATTTTTCATCTTGTTGTGTGTGCAATAAGGCTTTCAAATCATCTAGGTGGTCTCGTTTTTGGGTAAATTGTCTATATTTAGACCTTGTGCCGTGTTTAACGAGTAGAAAGTCATGTAAGCTTTCTGTTTCTGCTCCACCTAAACTCCTTAGAGGCAAGCTAACAGCCTCTTGCCTACAATAACTTGCCATGTATCTCAAAATGTGAGGATCAGGAACACTTATGAGTTACCACTAAGGAGATCATATGGGCCAAAAGAATGGGTGTTCCATTACAACTCAATAAAACACTAGATATAATGCAGAAACTTTGGTTGTTAGAAAACAATCCACTCTTTGAACAGTCAAGATCAGCTGCCTGTGCGGTATATCTGAAAAAAAGTAGCTCTTATAAAAACAACAAATTTCTAACCTACACAAATTACTGATAAATCAACATAACACCAATGAGCACAAGCAAGAAATGCAACATCTCAACATTTTTGCATCAATAACTTAACATTTTCTATAACAGGTGTTTGAAAATAATAGACAAGATCTACAGACAAGGTTCTGTGCAAGCAGAAAGGAAAACCTTTGGAGAGAGAAGATTCAGTTTCTAATTTCATTCAGTCCTCACTTTCGTAATCAGGACGGACAGATTGCTCAAACTCATTATCCATGATTACCCCATTCATTATATGTACAACAATCTTTCCTTTTCTGAGATCAACTGATTCTGATCTGACTCTGTTAGCAACAATCCTTTTTTCCGGGTCTCTTGAAATATACAATGTGAATCCAGAAATCGAATCAAAATAGACCTCCTCACCCAAGGGAATTGCAACCGAAGGCAGACTCCGAGGAACGGCTGAGAAACCCAATAAGCGAGAAAGGGTGGATTGGGTATCATTGACATTTTGTTCCAGTAAACTCTTGTTAGCCCACAGCCTCAAATCACGTTCGAAAGCTTCCTCCGAAGGAACAAATACGGTAAAAGCAAGATCATCAGGCAACATCCCAACCATGATTTCTCCGAGCTGCCCTAACCTCTTCTTCTCAGAGACATCACCCATTTTCAGAGCCCTATAAGACCTCCACGCTGCATTGCTCTCCCGTGACACCTCAGGAAGCCTAAGCATTGAAATAAGCACAACCAGAAGGCAGGAAACAGAGACAACCACGCATATAAAAATAATTAAATTATTGAAGGAGTAAACTCTTTTCAGCTTCTTCGACGATTCCATAAGCAACAGGAGACAACGCAAACGATCTCACTGTTTGCGATTCAAGACGAGCAATACCTCCCCACCTTCACTGATAATGTGATCCAAGAATAGCTTTACTTCTTCCGAGTCCTCAAAAGGGTGAGGAGAAACAAGATCACTATCCAAATTAAACCAGATCCCGCCGATATTTCGCAACGCGACCCAATGCCTACTTCTCCAAAACCCACCAAACCTCTTCACTGGGACGTTAAGCACAATGCCCATTAAAGCATCTTCAGAACGATCGAGGTCGATGGAGGAAGCTCCATTACGACGATCATGCCAGACTAGTTCCTTCCCTTTCCCTTCCAATGCCGCAATTAGCACGTTAACGTCATAGTTTCCAGTAATGGCGTTATGATGGGGCTTGAAAATTACAGAAAGAGGACTCCAACTTTCCTTGCTTGGATCGTCAAGAACGAGTTTTTCAGCAATCAAATTCAAGTCTTCACGAGTGAAGCTGTCCTTCTCCTGAACTACAACGCATTCGTCAAAATAAATCCCATAAAATACAGAATCTATCTAAAAATACCGCGAGTTTGAACAGAGGGAACTTTCTCTGAATGAGTTATCTGGATTTACTGGCATAGTTTTACTCTACAGTATAGAATTGGAGTGCTTGCGGCTGTTTAATTTAAACTAACAAAAAAGGGCAAGAGAAGAACTGCAGATGGAATACGTACCTGAAAGAGGTTGTTGAGGGCGTGCAAGAGGCAGAACTGCAATTTCTGCTTCTCGTGATAGATCTGCGGCTTCTCCTCCATGTGCGATGTCACGAAGCCAGACCTCGAAACAATTGAACACCCGATTCGAGAAAGATGACGATTGGGGGTTGTTAGGGTTTTGCCCTTTTTCCTTTTAAAGGAAGAAAATGGTTGTAAGTTTTTTGGGTATCATTTAATCATACTCGAGAGTCGAATTACAGATGGTGACCTTTGCGGTGATACACTGATACTTAGCCCCCCAAACTTTCATTTGTCATAAAAACTCACCCTGAACTTTTAGATTCTTCTATCACTGAAAATACCTTTTTTACATTCCAGCACTTTGCCCTTGTTAATGGAATAATGGGCTTGATGGTAACAAAAATAGGCATGTTAAAGGTTTTCGGTTGGTTTCATTTCTTTAAAATGGACAACCTTTGAAAATTGACCATATTGGTCGAATCGGGCCGGTTTGATTTTGGTTATCTTTCTGAATAGCCCTAGTTGTATTTTCCACGATCTCTTACTTTTCCTTCAATTTCTGTTTTTTTTTTTTTTGGTATGATAAATGATAATCACGGGACTCTCTCTCTCTCTCTTTCTAACAAGCGAAATGCTAATAATAGGGCAAAATGTTGGAATCTACAAATTCCGAGTGGATCTTTGTGGCAAATTAAAGTTTGGGGACTACTCCCAAAATACAAGGTGACAGTATAATTTACCCCATTTTTATGATCTCCTACACTTTCTTCCTCCATTTTGTCATGCACCCCATCAATTCAGTCTTGATCCTATTCATTTATCCTCCGCGTCAATCCATTCTATCAGAGGTCTAATTTGTTGCTAGTCCCTAGCTGGTTGTAGGGGAGAACTGGGAGCTAGGATCGAGTGTTGTCATGCACCATCATCAAGTTTGGGGGTCTAGGGGGTTTGGAGGGTTATCCCATCACCAATACCAATACAAGGAGAGATCAAGATTTTATTTTATTTAAGACTACTACTCGAATTGGATGAAATTGGACACACATTTGTCCTAATTTAACTTGTAGGATTGGACTCTTATGTATTGAATCCAAATCTGATTGCCAGGTTACTATCGTTAGATTCATGTCAGATTGGATTGGTTTGCACCATAATCCAGTCCATTGACAACCCTACTTTCAGGTAAGTCACCTAGTTTTCTTTCATGACAGAAAAAGCGATCATGTTCAAAGCTCATTCTCTAAATATGCTACTTATTAGAATTTGGGTCCAATCAAAGGTTGGCATGTAGCTATTTTTGATTTGATGATAGAAAGCAAGAGAGAAACAGAAAATTGAAGGAAAGTTCTTCAAATCTTTGTTTGTTTGCAATAGATGTAAATTTTGCATCTAGTTCAATTTCACATCTGTTTGTTTGTAACACTATTATTCGCACTTCTAACTGATACAAAATTTATACTTTGTCTCATTTACACTCACTAGCCGTGCAAAAAATTAATGTAAAATTTGTACCACCTTGCTCTTATATCAATTCACCACATATCATCTTGCATCTTACCTCACTTCCAAATAAATAACCCTCACACATCTATTCTCTTTCATTTAAGGTGGGGATCACATCACTTTATGAGCCCATATTTGCTTCTAGAAAAGTGTGTTTACACAACGATCCAGCAACAGATTGGAAATATCTTCTATACATATTTGTATGCTGTCATAGCCATGTTAAAAGTGTGTTAACATGCAGATCCCAAGTCCCAATTCCCATTTCACACCCTATTTTACTTCTCATAAATAAATTAGAATTTGCAATTCCATGGCTTTACACCAGTCCAAAAGAAATTTACACTGCAAACAAACTGAGCCTAATAAAGCATTTGTAGGGAAATCATGTTACAATGTATCTAATAGTGACATTATGCTTCCTATTATTTGATTTTGATGATGTATCTTGTCATTTGTCATTCTTTTTGAAAGAGTTGGGATCTCCTGCCAACAAAACATATTCCAACACCCTACCAACCTGATCTGACACTACACATCGCCATGCATGAGGTGTGGGTTGTGAGATGATGTTGGTAGGGCGATGGAATGCCTTTAGTTGGCAGGTGATCCGGACTCACCAGAAGGCTAATCCATTCAACAAATTAATCAGTTACATCAGATTCCAACAAGGGAATCAAGAAATCAGGCGGTAAAGAAGAAACCTAACAGCTTATGATTACAAGTTTTAGGATTAGGAGCAAAAGGTAATCCATTCTCTTGCAACTGGTGATGAGTGTATATACAATATACACACACACTCCAAGAAGGTGTAGTGTTCTCTTGCAATCAGAATTTCCGCATCACCTTCAACAATGGCTGAAGTGATTCGAAAGGAAGAAGCAAGTTAACTGAATGCATTTCAGAATGATGTGTGCTGAGTGGGCTTCTATAGGGATAGCTCGCGCAAAGATAACGGCCCCACGATCATCTTGATGACAATATATACAGAGGTTGCTCCATCAAAATTGATTTTGACTTTACCATCCGGAGGACGTGATGGAAGAGTTGGTCTCTGTGTCAAAGCATGTCGATTTGTGAGTGCACGAGGCAGCTCCAATGTAGATGGGCCTTGTGGGTAATTGTTTCTGGGCTCCAAAGCTGATGTTGGTTGGAAGATGGTTGCGTCTGGCTAGCCAGATATGCCACGGCATATTTGAAATACTTTACCACAAGTGGGTAAAATAGAGGCATCCGTGTTGTCATTAGTATGGATATCCACTCTGCAATCCATTCAGCAATATTTCTACGTGGGAAGGAGTCAGCAGTCAGCACTGAAAATTGCAAAGTAGAAGAGCCAAGCTGATGTGAGGATAGTAGCTGAAACCCTAACCCGAGCCCATTATAAATGAAATTCTTCATGTCGGACAACCTGACTTGCGACCCTTATCTATGACACCTGGCAAGAAGAAAGAAAAGTTTTCAGTGAAAAGTAGAGCTCTTCCCTGTAGAGAAATACGTAAAGAGGTATAATGGAGAATGACGTGAACAGTGACAAGCGTTCTTGTGTTGTGGCTACTACTCACAAGTCACAATACTTGCTTTGATACGAGCTCAAGCAGGCGAGCCCTTGGGAATTCCGACCGGGAATCATATCAACGACAGTCTGAATTCCCAACAATTGGCTTGGACGTGTGGTCTCAGGACAAGGAAAATGGTAGATATTTGGTGAATTGGGTTTATAGCTGCGAATCGTGAGCAATTGAGAATTTCTAACAATCGATTTAGCTCCTACCTAGTAACCTAGATGGGAGAGGGTTGGCTTTGTTGAAGCCTTTTGTCTGCATGCAGTGTATGATCACAAACCATTAATTTCTCCAGGTTATGTTATTTCACTTTGTTTGGGCGATATTATTGATGGGCTTTAAGAACTTACATGGCATTGGGCTCCAACACCAAAAAACTGTAATAGTATCAAACATAATTTGAGTTTGAACCCTTTCTAGCCTCAACACCAAGAACCTTTAGTTTGCCTTCAAGGCTTTGCTCTTAATGCTTAGTTTGGAAAGAGTGCAAATACAAATATGTACAATACACAGCCTTATGTTTTCTATTTCTAAATCTGTCTTTGCATTTTATATATTTGCATTTACACTCTTTCCAAACTGAGCCTTAAGTTTTACTCTTGCTATTAAGGTCTTGTTCATTTTTCAGGAAGTATGGGTGGGTAAGTTGGTAGGTCCTACAAAAAAGAAATAAATCAACCTCAGTATTAATGGATTTTGTGGAAAAGAATGATTCCCAAGTGGTTTATTTACTTGGGGAATTAATACTTTCCTTAGACTTGGGTAAATTAGTTACCCATATTGTGTAAAAAATCGCTAATACGTGATGGGGCAATATTGTCCCTTTAACAATGCCACTTTTTTTGATAAATCAGTCAATATTAGGGGTGAGCATGGGTTGGTTTGGTTCGGTTCCATGGTAGAATTTAAAATCTACATTGTAGGGGTCAGTTCTATATTTTTGGAACCAGAACCTACTGTATGAAGGTCGGTTCTGGCCTTGGTGGCTACGGAGTTGGTTTCAGGATCTACCCATGGAACCTACAGTACTTTCTTTACTCTCCCCCTTCATAAAAAAAAAAAACATGTTCTTTTAATAAATATAATATATAGTTTAAAACTTAGATTATCTTTATTGATTAAATTGGATAACTTAATGTGTAGATTATCACTATATGGTTAAAAATTTATAAATTAAATTTTAATTTTGTAAATATTACCTTTTACACTACTTATTGTATGCATTGAAATATTAAAATGAAAACAAATGATCAAATCACTTAAAGTAACTCTATGGTTAAGTGAGACCATGCCCTTTGTAATCATGAATGCCTGGGTAAAAATCTTAACACCCCCAAAAGTATTATGGGGTTTATTTCAAGGCAAATTTGGTTCCAACAAGGTAAGGTTTCACCAAAGCCAACCAAGGCTAGTTCATCATGTCGGTTCAGGAGGATAAACCCCTAGACCCTAGAACCAACCGGGGTGGGGGTAGGTTTCAAGAATTTGGAACCAGACTCTGCCTTGTAACAGATTGGGTAGGCTTTGTTCAAGGCCAGTTCGATGTCAGTTCCATTTGGTTCCAGGTAAAACTTACCCATTTGCTCACCTTAGTCAATATACACTTTTACCTAGGGAATTAATACTCTCCTTAGACTTGGGTAAATTAGTTACTCATACGCTCCAAAAAATTGTTAATACGCCTTTAATAATGCCACTTATTTAGATAAATCAGTCAATATACACCTTTACTAGGGAATAAAAGAACACTAGTAAATACTCTTATTTGGATAAATGTTTCCCAAAAAAATACTTGCCGCATAAGTGCATTTAACCAAGTCATTAACCAAGACACAAAAGCATGACCCTTTCTTTTTTTATGTTTTCCTGCATTTTGTGATTTTGTGCGGCAAAGGTTGCTTGAGGTGTTTTATCCTGATTTTCCTGATTATTTCTTTTTCAGCAAGTTTAGTCTGATTTATGGGTTGGGTTTGTATCTTTTAATTAATTTTTCTTGCTGATTGTATTCCTAGTTGTAGTATCAGCATTGATCAACGATTTTTGGCTGTTAGGCTTAAAAGAAAAAACCAACAAAACCCTTTTCTATCTATAGAAAAAGAATGATGAAAGAGATCTGATAAGATATAATCTTCCCACAAACACTGTCTAAGTTGATAAGAATAAGATTGAACTGTAAGTGCGCCTAAGACATTAGAT